GGCCCGGGCCCCTGTGCTGGGCACTGGGGGGGCCGCCCCTCGAATGCTGGGGTCAGGGTTGGGCCCCTCCCTCCCCGAAGGACCTGGGGGGACTGGAGAGTGTCCAGAGAAGGGCAGCGGAGCTGGGGAGGGGTCTGGAGCACAAGGCTGATGGGGAGCAGCCAAGGGACATGGAGCTGCTCAGCCTGGAGAAAAGGGGGCTCAGGGGAGCCCTTATTGCTCCCTACAACTGCCTGAAAGGAGGGTGTAGCCAGGTGGGTCTCAGTATCTTTTCCCAAGTAACAAGCAATAGGACAAGAGGAAACGGCCTCAAGTTGTTCCAGGGGAGGTTTAGATTGGATATCAGGAAAAATTCCTTCCCCCCAAAGGTTGTCAAGCACTGGAAAGGGCTGCCCAGGGAAGTGGTTGAGTCCCCATCCCCGGAGGTATTTAAAAGCCAGGCAGACGAGGTGCTTAGGGACAGGGTTTAGTGCTGGACTTCGCAGTGCTAGGTTAATGGTTGGACTTGGTGATTCTAAAGGTCTTTTCGAACCTAAACAATTCTATGATTCTATGATTCGACTGCTTAACGAGAGCAAAAAAATCTTGAAAAATCTGGCCACTTGCTCAGGCGCTTACGCAGAAGCTGCTGGGTGCTGCGCTCTTCTCAAAACTTTATGTGGTATACTACAAACCAGTCTGTGCAAGCAATTCATAGGTGTCTGACAAGGTTCCACCATGCCTGCATGACTGAAAGAGGGCACTGGTAGAGGTTCTCTCTTCTTTGACCCATCGTGCATCCAGGGCTGACTGTCAAGTAGAAAAGGTTGGTTGCCTCCCCTCTGAAGCTGTGCTCTTTGTCAAAACAAAATGGCTTACTCCGTGACCCTGCATCAAGAGTGCAAACCTGCAATCAGTGGGATAACCAGAAATACTGCTAACAAATCCATGTGCCTCTTCACAGCTTTACAAAAGCATTTCGTTCATACCAAACTCTGCTCCTCTCTCGTGGCAAAGTACACGTACAGGCAATAAACACTCTGGCAGCATCAGAAATTTAGGGACACTCTCTGTTGATGTGGTGGCAACACTAACCTTAGTAACAGCAAGAGATGGCACTAAGTTATGTACAGCTCCTTGGGGCAACGTACCAATAAGGCAGAGAGAGAGAGATGTGGTTTCTGCTCTGGTAACACAGCTGGTTCTCCTCTCTCATACACACGGCTGTGGCTGTAGAACAGAAATCTTGACTTCACCTCTGCCAGCAGATTTACAATACAGTTGCAGAATAAATTCAGGGTAAGTTACATATGTGCCAAGCTTTAGCTAACACACACACACGCAGTTAACTCATTCTGCTCTCTCTAACAAAGCTTTATCATACTCAGATCCACCCTAAGACTCCTAGAACCATGATAATGCCCAGAACTCCTAACATCTTTCCATTGGCAAAAAGCAACGTTTAATCTGTTTGACAAAACCATTTGATATACCTATTGATTTAGTTCTTTGATTGTTTGTTTCCAGCTGGAAGGAGAATCCAAAAACAGTGGGTGGCAACAGAGAAAATCTGAGCGAGAACGATGTCAACGCTGAAAAGCCATCTGCGTTTTCAAACTGGCAGCTCGCTGCAGGGTGAGGCTGCTGTCTCAGGCCACGGGGGTAAGCACTGGGCACAGGGAACGGAAAGGGAGAGAGCAGATTTAGTGCCTCATCACTTGGCTCTCCTAAACCTTCACCGCGTGGCATCTCCCCTTTATTAAAAACAAAAGAAAAAGAAATATTTCCATGGTGGAGTAATGGCCGAGGGACATGGCAAGCGGTCAGCGTAGAGCCGCCACTCTTACTCACATTCTGAGACTTAAATGTTCGAGTTTCTGATAAGAAAACCCTCTCTTTGGTCTCCTGCCCTGCCTACTTTCTATTATAGTCTAAGCAGGCTGGCTCCTCTGTGGGCTCAAATCAGCTTTTTCTAAATCCACCCGGTAGACGCCTGGAAGCATTTGCACGCGTCAGTGATTTCCAATCACCAGATATCAGATCAAAACCAGCACATCTCTGCAGAGGCTTTAAGAATTCAAAATCTAGTTAATAGTCAGGAAATTACATCCTGATTTTTCGGATAGGAGAGTCTTCCATGCAGGTCACGGGTCTTGGTATTCAGCTCTTTTGACTGTTCAACATTGAGCTTAAGATTCCTGGCTATGGAGCAACAGACCTAACCTCAAATTTGAAAAGTCTGACAACAACTACATTGACTGATTTTTCTACAGAAAAGTGGGGGGTTTATTCACTGTAATGCTACCAAACATCTGAACGGTGCAGTCACAGTAAATGGAGCAAAATGCAACGCCCTGGCTATCAGCCATTTGAAGTGCAAGGCCATTTAATTCTTTCGAGATGGGAAAGACAAGCAGCTCATGTACTTAATACACATGGTGGAAATCCATAAAAGAACGGCAAGGTTACTGCAACAATTACTTTTGGTGGTATTCCTGGGTGCTGACTATT